TCCTGCTCCGTGACTAAGCGGCGGCCGTTCGGGGGAAACGAAAGATGGAGGCGTCCGCGATGCTGCCGCTGCCTTCGCTGTTCTGGGCCGGGGGTCCCGCCCCGGGGAGCCTCTTCCCACTGGGCAGCCCGACCCAGGACGCCTGGGCCCAGAGCGAGGCCTCCAAGAGGACTCTGTAAGGCTGGGGAGGGGAGGAGACGGGGGGAAGCCCCTTCCCACGGGGGAGAACCCCCCAGTGTGTGACGTCATGGTGGGGGGAGGGGGAAAGCGCCCCCCCCGCGGGGAGGGGGGCGAATGAGGGTCTGCCTCTGTCCTGGACTAGAGTTTCCTCCTCCATAGGTGGGATGGGAGTTGTAGTCCCCACGGTCACCAGGTGGCTCAGGGTTTTGGCGGGGGGGGGGGGGGGGGTGGGACTTTCCCCCTACCTTTTAATTTAAGACCCCCCCCACACACACACTTCCTGAGTCCTAAAGGTCCCTTGTAGGAATTGGCAGCACACCCATCCCTTCTTTCCTTCTTTCTTTCTCTTTCCTTCCTTCCTTCTTTCTCTTTCTTTCCTTCCTTCTTTCTTTCTTTCTCTTTCTTTCTTTCTCTTTCCTTCCTTCCTTCCTTCTTTTTCTTTCTTTCCTTCCTTCCTTCCTTTTCTTTCTTTCCTTCCTTCCTTTTCTTTCTTTCCTTCCTTCCCTTTCTTTCTTTCTTTCTTTCTTTCTTTCTTTCTTTCTTTCTTTCTTTCTTTCTTTCTTTCTTTCCTCTCCTCCCATAATGTATTTACCTACCTACATCTGTCTACGGTATCTATCTCATCTATGTATATTTATCTAATTATCATCTATATATGTCATTTATCTAATCTCTCACACTCTGTCTCGTCTGTGTGTATCTATCCTCTCCTCTCTCTGATCTCTCTCTCCCTCCCTCTCTCCCTCCCCATCTATCCATCCACCCATCTACCTGCCCACCTACTCCTCTTCCAACCCACCCCCATCCAGGAGCCCCATGGTGACGGGCACCTCCGTCCTGGGCCTGAAGTTTGAGGGAGGGGTGATGATCGCAGCCGACACGCTGGGCTCCTACGGATCGCTGGCCCGATTCCGCAACCTCTCCCGGATCATGAAGGTCAACGACAGCACCGTCCTGGGCGCCTCGGGGGACTATGCCGACTTCCAGCACCTCAAGCAAGTCCTGGAGCAGATGGTGTAAGTGGCCAGGAGGGTTTTTTTGGGGGAGGGGTCCCGGCTGGCTCCTCCCCCCCCCCATTGGCCTTGAAAACAATGAAAGGAGGGGGAACTAAAACAGGGTCTCCAAATTTGGCTCCTTTAAGACTTGCGGACTTCAACTCCCAGAATTCTGAGGGTTGCAGTTCACAAGTCTTAAAGGGGCCAACTTTGGAGACCCCACCCCAAAGATAAAAGAAGCCAAGCAAACCCATTGATTTGCTCTTAAGCAGCTCCCCATGAGCCTTTCCGATTGAAATCCAGGTTTAAACTTCTGGAGAACTTCCAGGTTTGACACCCCCAAAATCAACGTCGCAACACACCCTTCCAAACCAGCCCCGTATATAGAAAAATATTTGGGGCTGTAAGTTGCCTTGTGGGGCTGCAAAGTTGGGAGTCCCTTGTTGACCCTTGTTTCCATGGGGCTACCTTCACCCCCTTGGCTGACTTTCGGGCCCTTCGCAAGGGAGCCTGGCCGGCGAGAGAGGAGCTGGGGAGTAGCGTCTCAGCTGGGCCTCCGTTGTCTCGCAGGATTGACGAAGACCTTCTGGGCGACGGGCACAGCTACAGCCCGAAGGCCATTCACTCCTGGCTGACCCGGGTCATGTACAACCACCGGTCCAAGATGAATCCCCTCTGGAACAGAGTCATCATCGGCGGCTACTCCAACGGGGAAGGGTAAGGCCGGGAACGGACCCGGGGGTCGGGGGGGGGGGGCGGAAGCTTGAAGATGCCCTGGGCTGATTGACGGAAGAATATTTCTCAAAAACTCCATTTGCCCCAAAGTCCCGTTTTATGGCCGTTCAAAGCAGAGGCGGGTATTCAGCCGGTTCTGACCGGTTCTAGAGAACCGATAGCGGAAATTTGGAGAACCGGCCAATCCCACCTCTGACTTCTGTTCTCCGCCTCCCATTGAGTCCCAGCGGATCGGCTGGGTCTTCTTTGGTTGCCCTCCACAGGAGAACGGAGCTGGAAAGCAGGTTAGTGGGGTGGGGGAGAGAAGGGGGATTTTACGGTCTCCTTCCCCTGCCACGCCCACCAAGCCACGCCCACAGAACCAGGAGTGACAAATTTTGAATCCCACCACTGGTTCAAAGTTACAACGGCACTGGTGGGGGGGGGGGAGTGCTTATGAGTTTTTCACGCACCGTGGCAGCCTCCCCGGTGGTCACAGGGTCAAAATTCGCCCGTTTGGCTACTGACTCGTCCTTATGACGGTGGCAGAATCCCCGGGTTCACCCGATTCCCTTTTGCGACCTTTGGATCAAAGTCCATGGGGAAACTAGATTCATTCAAGAGCCGTAAATGAATGATTTAACAGCTGCAGTGATTCGCTTAACCAGCCAAGAAAATGGGGGTGAAACTCATGTAATGTCTCGTTTAGCAACAAATTTGGGGCTCCGTTGTGGTCATAAGCCGAGGACTACCACCAGTCACGAAAAATTGTGTCCTTCTGTTCATGTTGCATTCGCCAACTGTCGTCCGACAGTTAAGATGAGCCGCGTGTAAATTGAGTTCATTAACTGCCTGTAATTCAGTTTTGGTGGCTGCCTCCTCCGCCGCCAGGAGGACAGGGATGGCGGAGGGGCTTCAGCCGCGGCAGCCCCCTCAAACCTCTCCCCTCTCAGCTTCTTAGGCTACGTCGACCTGCTGGGAGTGGCCTACGAAGCGCCTTCGTTGGCGACCGGATACGGGTCTTACGTGGCACAGGTGGGCAAGGGAGTAAATTCACTGGCGGTTTCCTCCTCCTCCTCCCCGATCCAGTGAGGTTGGGATCCTGGCTTAGGAATTGGGTTCCCCAGTTGTGCTAAGCCGTCGTGGTTTCTCTTGGGGGACCAGGCTTTATTCAGGAAGCCGGAGATGGGTTCGAGTGACCGGGGGGGGGGGGGGGGGGGGGGAAAGTTTTCATCAAGTTTTTAAGCGGTGCAATTGACCGCCCTCCGTTTCTTTCACCCCGTCGCAGCCGTTAATGAGGCAGGCGCTGGAGGAGACCCCCAGCCTTTCCCAGCAAGCGGCCAGAGCTCTCATTGAACGGTGCATGAGGATCCTCTACTACCGGGACGCCCGCTCGTTCAACCGGGTGAGAGAGGGAGGGGCATATGGGTATGGTTTTCCCCCCACCCCAGCCCAGGTGGGGTCTCCCTGTGAAGGGGGGGGCCCTCAGCCCAAGGAGGGGGGCCCTAACCCTCTCTTCTCCCTCCTCAGTACGAGATCACCACCGTCACCGAGAAAGGCGTGGAGGTGGAAGGACCTCTGACCTTGGAGACCAACTGGGAGATCGCTCACCTGGTCAGGTAAGGTGGCCTTCCTGGTCTTGTTCTCACAGCTCGGATGGCAGCTTTCCCTTCCTCCCTACGCCGGATTTTACAAGCGGTTTACTTTCAAGGCTGCTGGGATGTTTGCCGGCTGTTAACTGTGGCTTGTTTTTCTCCCCCTCTTGCAGTGGTTTCGAATGAAACAGGAAAAGTTTTTCTATTTGTTGAAGACGGAAAGCCCCCAAATCCTTTGTGATACTGTTTGAGGCTCCTGGGGGAGCCACCCTTTCTTTAATAAAGATGCTTCACTGTGTACAACTCGTGTGTGTGTGTGTGTGTGGAAAATTTTCTGGAAATTTTCAGGTTCAAGAGGGGTGTTTTCTCCAAGACTTTTAGGGGGTTCCTCATCTCCTCATCCTACAAACCTCCCCAAACAGCTGGGCTTCCACGCCCATAATCCCCTGCCAGCACAGCTAGAGTTCCAAACCAGCCGAGGGGTTAAAACAAACACTTGGGTAGCTTCTACCAGAACCTGGAAAAAAGGCATTTTCTCCTTTTTTAAGGTTGTCGATGGACGGGTTTTCTACCTAGCAACACCAGGTACGCTGTGGATTCTAGCATAGGTAGTTTTGAGATCTCTGCTTCCTGCACGGAAGGGCCTGGAGGGTCACCGTTCAGACATGCCAAACTATCTAGCAATCCTGCTTGTTTGATCAAAAAGCAAAATTGATAGGAGCTGCAGTGACCACACTAAGCCACCAGAGGGCGGGAAGCAGCTTGGAAGAGTCTATGCAGTGACCTCGCTGAGTCACTAGAGGGCAGTATTTTCAAAGCTTATAGAATGGGAGCCTCTCCCTCCTCTGAAGAGGAAACGAAGAGGAGGGGGATACTAATCCCCGGAGGACTTATCAAGCAGGGGCCCGCTTGCCATCGGGCCTGGGTTTCACAGCTCCACAGCTAGAGGGAGCTGCAGCTCCAGGTATCTGCAGGTGCTCTGAGAAATACACCTGTCGTACCTGCAGGGGCACGAATCACAACCCCAAGAGGGAACTAAACTTCGGGAACCACCATGAGGGGCAACAAGAAACTGGCATTGACCTTGGAGGGGTGGGCATTAGGGTTTTTTGAGAGGTGTTTTGAAGAGACCAGGATCCCTGGGTCCAAATTTGCTCAAACCAGGATGGAATTCTCAGAACCGCACGAAGTCCAGTTTGTGAACCCAGCTGCGTTTCAAGCCCAGGTTTCCCTCTCTGGCTGCCAAACTCTCTTGAATGAAAACGCGTGTTTATAAATCCATTTCCCTGGTTTTATTAAATGTTCCACATATGTACATTTCAAAGATGAACCATTTACAGGTCAGCAAACCCTATTTTCCTGCTTCCCGCAAGAGTTTGGCCTTGGGGAGGTTGGGGAAAGGGAGGGAAAAGGGGGGGGAGGTGTTTTCCTGTTGCTCTCTCCTCCTCCCAACCTCAAAGGAAAAACAGAAAAGATGCACAGGAGGAGACGGCGGGTGGTGGGTGGTTTTTTTTTCTTCTATGTGTCAAAAGGTTTTCTCGTCATTTTAGACCAATAATACGTGACAATTTTAAAAAAAACTCTCAAACATGCAAACAGTAGAAAAAACACCTCTCTCTTTTTTAAGGTCTCTCGTCTTTTTATGCTGGCAGTGTAAAATAAAACGGGGCGTTTCCCTCGTTTTTGTGCACGTCGGGAGTTGAGTTGCAGCACTTGGGTCAGGGGACGTCGTCGTGTCTCGTTCGAAAGGCGTCAGGAGCTCGCAGAGTTTTTAAAAGGCGACGACGGGGGGGGGTGGATCCGTTTGCGATCGGCCACCCGCCAAAGAGGGTCGCAGTGGGGCGCGAAGTGTCCCCCCCACTTGCTCTCTCCGTACCAACTCAGATCACCGTTTCGCCACCGGGAACTTTGAGAAGGTTTTGCTTCCACGGCTATGAAATCTGCACCAGTGAATTTTTGCTTTGCTTTCACCACGCACGTCCCAAGTTTCGTACAAAAAAGACATTCAGGGAGCTTCTCCCTCCCCTAAACAAGAATGCCTGCACTTAAATCGCTGTTCTCGCCTCCTTCCCCATAAAGCAACCTTCCAATTATTCTTTGTGGGCACGTTTATTCAACGTTCAAAGTAAATTTCTACGTTTCTGGGTCCGAGTGTTATAGGAAAAAAAAAAAAATGAACATTAAGTGGCTGCGGCCAACAGAAAGAGCAAAACTGAAGAAATCTTCCATCGGCTACAAATCTCTTTTCCTTGCCTTCCCAAAAAAAAAAAAACTCACGTTGATAACGTGGCATAATTAAAAACTTGTTTTGCACAGTATAAAACGAAAATAAAAACCCAGAAACTCTTATAATACAAGTGAGGTAAAGGAAATGCAAAACGAAAACCAAATAATAATAAATCCACCCACAATATATATATATCTTCGGGAAATGCCACAACAGTGATTTAAGGGGGAGGGGAAAACGTGGTTTGTTTTATTTTCCTCCTCCTTTTTGAAGGAACCGAACGGCATCCACGGCTCCACGGCTGAGTTTTGTGTGTATTTTGTGTCTCCGGCGGACAGAGATCCACAGGGAAGCAGAAGAGGAAAAGGATTTCTTCCAACAATGCATCTTTTTGAAAGAGAGAGAGAGAGAGAGAGAGAGAGAAGGAATCGATCTCACTCCTTCTCACAGCTCCATCAGCTCCAGGTCTGCGTCCTCGAAGCCGTAGAAGGACTCGGTCTCGCTCTCCCCCTCGAAGAGCTGGTGCAGGATCTCGGGGTTGGCGGATTCCTCCGACGGATTCCCCCCCTCGTGGTTGAGGTCTCCCTCCTCGTCCTGCAGTTCGTTGCGGAGTTTCAGCTGCTCCTCCAGCGAAGCGATCAGCTCTTCCTGCATGTCCGCGTTGCGGCTGGGCGTGTTGGCCGTGCCGTCCGGGCCGGGCAGGACGCTGCCTACCAGGAACGACTGCTGCACCAGTTCGGGGCAGTCGCGGATGACCTCCAGGGCTTCGGCCAGCCAACACAGGACGAGCTGCAGGAGGATGTCCGCGTCGCAGGAGGAGTCCGCCATCTCCTTGGCTTGCTCTTTCCACTTTTTGTGCACAAAGTTTTTCACCGTTCTTTTGATGCAAACGTCCAAGGGTTGGATCTTGGAGCTGCAGCCGGACGGCACCACCGCCGGCAAGGTGCTGGACGAGCTCAGCAGGGAGAGGACCTTTTCGGAAAGGTGTGTCCGATGGCAGTCCAGGACCAGCATGCTTTTGCTGCTGTGGGGCTCGAGGTGCTTCTGCCAGACCTTGGACGACCAGAGCTCCAGGACCTCGTCGTCGCTGAAGCCGTTCTCCTTCGCCTCCAGCAGGATCGTCTCCGGCACGTTGGCCGGCTGCTCCAGGCGGCCTCGGTAGAAGACCATGGTGGGCAGGACGCTCCCGTCGGCCAGGATGGCCAAGACCACGTCGCACCAGGGCTCCCCGGTGCCCACGGTCTGCAAGGCGTTCTCCTTCCGGTCGTCGCTGCAGAGGACCTCGGCGTCCAGGAAGAGGGAGATCTCGTCGATGGCGGCGATCATGGAGAGGGGCAGGTCCTGGGTGTGGATCTGGCCCTGCACGAACTCGATGAAGCAGCCGGCGTTCTCCGCCACCTCCTTGGGGAGCGGGTGAGCCACCGCCCGGCGGCTGTGCGTGCTGAGGTGGTGGCGCAGCATGAACCGGACGGCCCACTCGTAGGAGATCTTGAACCCCCCCTCCAGAGACCGGCCGATCTTGGTGGCCTTCTGGAAGAGGGTCTCCTCGTTGACCGGCAGCTGCTGCTCGCGCTGCGTCAGGACCCACTCGGCCAGCTTCTCCTCCGCTTCCAGGCTCAGGTACTTGCCCTCCGACAGAGAAGCCACGTTCTCCTCCTGGAAAGCCTGGAAGCGCCTCAGCCAGCGGCGGATCCGCCGGGGTGGGTTCTTAAAGTGTTCCGCCGCCTGCTCGGTGTTGCAGCACAAGGCGAAGAGGACAACTCGGAGCTTCTTCACGGAGAGCTGCTCCTTCCTGCTGACGGGCTCGGGCGCCTCCTTGGGCTCGGGCTCCTCATCGCGGCTGTCGGCGTTAGAGGCGTTGGAGCCCTCGTTCTCCTGGACCGCGGCGGGAGAGCGGCTGGCCTCGGGCATCGGCTCGGGCATCACCGGCGGCGCCTCCTCCTGGGCCTTTACCTCCTCTTCCTCCTCCTCCTCCTCCTCGGGCAGAGGCGGAGGTGTGTTCACAGTGGCAGCTTTGCTGGGCGAGGCGGTGGAGACGGAGGGGATTGTGCCTCCTTCGAAGGGCTGGCCAGGCCTGGAGGAAAGAGGGGGAGAGGCTGAGGGATCGCCCCGGGGGGGGGGAGGGCACAAGGTCCCCTGGAACGGGAAAAAGGCACGGCGGTTTACCTTGTATGGGAACTCCAAGCGGGACCTGTGGGAAGCAGAAAGAAGCGGTTCAGCTCACAGCAAGAGTCCCATTCGGGGCTGGGCTGGGGGGCAGCAAAACCTCCCCCCCCTCCCCTCCCCCCCTAGGAAAAGCAGAAGAAAGAGGAGCAGGCCCTTTCTTACCTCGTAGGATGACGTTGCTGAATTCGTGAGAGGGGTTGAAGACCAGGTGTTTGGCCATGGCGTCGCCCTCCGACGTGGCAAAGAGGCAGGCCGAGCAGGCCAGCCGAACCCCACTGGCAAAGAGGACGCAGAGGAAGCGTCAGGCCGGGGTCAGATTTGCGGCCCAGAATTGCTCACGTTCCCTCCCCCACAGCCCCTCGTGGGCGCCCTCCTCCTCCCCTCCCCAGGAGACCTGGCTAGGAAAAGGACGGGCGGGGGGGGAGGGCACACCTGGAGGGAGGCAGCCTTACCAAGCCGTGTAGTTTTTGAACAAAGCCAAGTATTTGGGACTTTTGCGAGGAACGTGGTTGCTAGAAAGAGCAAGGAAAGAGGGGGGGGGATGCAGCGGTCGTTACGCAACACCCCCCCCAACGCTTCCCCCGCTGAGTCTGAGCTGCCCCGCAAGCCCCTTCGGCTCCCTTCCCCCGCCTAAGACTCTCCGCCGCGTTCCGGCCCCCGGGCAGCGTCCCCTCTGCCCCTGCGGACGGACGGGCAGCCTGGCCGGGTGGCACTCACTTGATCATGTGGTTGGCGTACGCGCGGGAGCAGCAGGTGCTGTAACGGCAGAGCGAGCAGTGGACGTAGGTGGGGAAGTGGTTGGGGAAGTCCGGGATTTCGAAGCTGCACTCCAGGCAGGTCTGCCGGCCCAGGACGCTCCTGTCGAGAGGGAGGGAGGGAGGGAGGGAGGGAGGGGAGAGCCCAGTTAGATCCCCCGTGTGGGTGTCCGTGTCCCAACCAAGCGACAGTCAAGCGGGGGATGTGAACTATTTGCCCGAGGCGGAGGGGAAAAACCTTCCGGGTGTTTCCAGGGCCGAACATTCAACGGGAAACACGGCCGAGGGGCCCGGAGGGGCCTCCAACAAGGGAAGGGCAGAGCAGCCGGTCAGCAGGGAGCTTCTTCCCCCCTCAGCCCCGCCCGAAGCGGCAGGGCCTGGACAGGGAGCAGTCCTCCTCCTCCTCGACTTACAACACTTGAGCCCCAAATTTATGTGGCTGAGCGAGACATTGGTCAAGGGAGTCGTGGCCCATTCTACGACTTTTCTTGCCACGTTGGTTAAGCGAACCCCTGCGGTTGTTAACTTAGTACAACGGTCGTTAATTGAGCCTAGCTTCCTCCCAATTGACTTTGCTGGTCACAAAAGGGGATCATGGAACCCCGGGATGCTGCGACCGTCATAAATATGAGTCGCTTGTCAAGCATCCGCCTTGCTGCAAAGGTCACAGGGGTGAAAAAGGGCCCTCGGCCCCCTTTTTGTCATTGCCCTTATCCCTTCCAATGGTCCCTGAATGAAGTGTTGTAAGTCGAGGACGGCCTGTGCTCCCCCTGCCCCTTCTCTGGCTGAGCCCCCCACCCCACCCCCTTTCAGATCAGCCACCGGGGGGGGGGGCAGCCACCAGGGGCCGCCCGCTCTCCCTCTCAAGGCGAGTTTGAAACGTGGGAAGAAGCTCTGACATTTTCCGGACCGCCTTCTTCTGGACGCTCCTCTGGAACGGCGGGTACGGGAAGTTCGGCTGGGGATCCGAGGACGCCGAGAGCAAAGCCGCGTCTTGGAGGAGGCCGGGGGGCATGTCGTTCGCGCAGAGGGGCAACGTCCGCGGCTGACCCCGGGAGGCCCTGATGGTCACCTGCGGCCCAAAGGGAGGCGGTCAAGGTCACGCACACATACGGGAGAGAGGCCGAGAGAGAGAGAGAGAGAGGCGGAGGAGCCCCCACGCGACTCCGAGAGCTCGGAAGGCTCAGATCCTTGGCCCCCCCGCCCCCCCTGGTTGCAAACGAGCCCCCCACTCCCCAGGCCGCTGCGTACCTTGGTGCCCGGCTTCAGCCCTTCCAGCTGTTTGGGTTTGCGGAAGGTTTTGTGGTGCTGCAGCTTGTGCTCGATCTTGTCCTTGGCAAAGAGGAACTGCAGGCGGCACTTGTTGCAGTGGTAGACGCTTTTCTTCTGCCGGGGGAGGGGGGGAGTAGCTGATTTTCCCGGAGGAGGGTGGGCCCTTCCCCGACTCACCTCCCCCTCCCCCGCCCCAGAGAGAAGGTGGACGAGGAGGGGGGGGTTTGGGGGTTCACCTGGTGCCTCATGAAATGCTGCTGGAACGCCGTGCCGTTTTTGAAGACCTTGAGGCAATACGGGCAGAGCAGGTGGCGCGTGTCCTCATGCACCATCCGGAAATGGGCGTCCACTTCGGAGTAGAGCGACGAACGATACTGGCAAACCGGGGAGGGGGGGGGGGGGGGGGGAAGGGGGGGAATCACTCTGGTTAAAAGGGTCCAGAGGGGTCCAGAAGGTGCCTTTCCCAGAGGGGAGCCCCCCACCCACCCCCGCCAGTCTTCCTAGGGGCGGTCAGGCAAGGAGGCTTTTGGGGGGCGGATCCTCCACGCGAGCTTCTTCTGCTCAGGATTTCTCCAGGATCCGCACCAGGGCCAAGGCTGGAGCGGAGAACGGCAGGGCTTCATCTACGAGCCCCCCCTGCAAAGCGTTGGCGGTACCTGGCAGACGTAGGGCATCTCCCCAGGCTTGTGGGTGTCCTTCATGTGCTGCAGGAACATGGGCTCGCTCTCAAAAGCCCATTCGCAGATCTTGCACTTGGCTGTGAGTAGAGGGGGGAGGGTCAGAGGGGGGCAAAGGGGAGGGAGGGTAGCCCCTCCAGGGCGCCAAACCCGCCTCGGTGGAGCCTGGCAGCTTCCTCTGACCCGCTCTGGTTTTCCCTCCGGATCACGCAAATGAGATCCCACAAGAGAAGCCGTAAGGGGGAAAATCTCTTTATTCTTAGGGGGATCCCCTGCTTCCCCCCCCCCCGCTAAGGCCCCCTTTTTCCGGGGGGAGGGGGCTTTGCGCCGGCTTACTGGTGGATTCGTACGGACTGTGGACGTTCTCCAAGTGGCACTGGAGCTGGAAGGGCGTGGTGAACTGCCGGTAGCAGTGCTGGCAGATGGTGTGGATGTCCACCTCTCCGTTCTGCTGGTCCAGCTCGACGTGGTGCTTCATGTGGTTCATGAACCTGCAGGAAAGGAGAGGGTTGAGGGGAGGAGCCCCCGGACCCGACGGCAAGGCGCTGGTTTCAAGAGCCCCCCCCCAACCCCCAACCCCCCAGCTGCCCGCGCTAAGCCCTTGTGTGGTCCGTAGGGGGGCAGCCGCCTCCTCTCTTCCCCCCGTAGCTCTTACCGTATGTTATTCTTGAGCCTCTTTGTGCAGTGCGGGCATCGGAAGGAGGTTGGCACCTTGGGGAAGTTGAGCAGCTGGCTGACTTTGCCCCCGTCCCTGCCGTAGTAGAAGTCATCGACCAACATGATCAGCTTGCTCTGCACCCCCTCGCTGGCGCCGTCGCTCGGCTCGGAGAGCTTGGCCGCCGGGGACAGGGCAGGGATGGGGGTGGAGGACGGGGGAGAAGCCACGGCGGCGGTCTTATCCGGGGAAGGGGGCTTGGGGGCTTGGAGGCTCGGTTCCGACTCCAGGGGTTTCCCTTTCTTCAGGAATTCCACCATTTCGGGGCAGCAGTACTGCGGGGAGGACAAAAGGAGAGGGGTGTGTGTGTGAGAATTCCCGCAGGTGAATCCCCCCCCCCGAGGCAACTTTGAAGACTTGGGGACTTCAACTCCCAGAATTCCTCAGCCAGCAACGTGGCGACTTACACACATGTGGCCTCTTAAAGCTTCCGTGACTCTGAACTGGGCGTTGCAGCGAGGGCAGGATTTCCGCCCGCTGTCTTGCAAGTCAAAGGCGGGGATCGGCGAGGAGCTGACTGTAGAGAGCAAGAGAAAAGAGGATCAGGGGAGGGAAGAGAGACGCCGCTGGAAGGACGAGACTCGGGAAAAGCTATCTCTGCTCCGTTTCTTTCCCCTGGGGAGGAGTTCGGGGGGGGGGCTGGCACACCTCTGGCCTCACGAATAGCACCCCGGGGCATCTCCCCAAACCCCTCATAATTAAGGGCGGAAGTTAGGAGACGCACCTTTCTGCGAGGAGGACTCCGAGAGGCCCGTCCTCTGGGAGCCATGGGCCTGGCTGTTGTTGGGCACCATGAGGGCCCCCGAGCCCTGAGCAAGCGAAGGGACGGTGTTCAGGGTGTTCACCAGCTTGGCCACCTCGTTGTTCTCCCCCGCCACGCCGGGTTTCTTCACCGCAACAAAACTCGCGATGCTCACTGGCGGGAAACAGTGGAGAGAATCCGATCGTTTCCGTTTGGAAGCAGAGGAGGGAGGAGTCGAAGGAGGGGAGGGGATTACAGGTGGGCCCAGGGCGAGGGATGGGGGGGGGAGGAAGAGGAGGAGGAGGAGGGGAGGCCAACGGAGGGCTTACTTTGCGGCTGCGCTTGGGACTGTGGGACCGTGTTCCGGATGGTCAGGGTGGCCGGAATGACCGTCGTGAATGTGTTGGAGGCCGGCCGGACCGGCATGGTTGGAGCAGGTCTCACCTGGGCCATTTGGGAGAAAACCTGAGGGACGCCGACGGTGGGCTTCACAAACTGCGTGCCTGGGGCTGGAGGGAAGGAAGAGCGGGGGTGGAAAGGCCCGGGAGGGGGGCTGAAATTCCAGGGTTTTCAACCCAGCAGAGCTGGAACCGAGGGGTCTCCCTGCGGATCGTTTGCACGGCCACTCCCTCCCGGCCTAGACTTCGTGCCCGAAGGGGGACCGCTCTTGGGGGGCTCTGCTCATCACCCCGCCCTCCTGGCCAGCCTCCCGCCAACCGCTCCACCTGGCTTTCCTCCACCCCCTTACCTGGGACGAGCGTGATCGGCCGTACGGTCTGGCCCTGCTGCACGTTCAGGACAATCCCCACCTGGTTCATGGTGTTTTGCACAGGCCGGACGTTCCGCACAGGGAAACCCTTTTCTCAGACAAGGACAAGAAGCCGTTTTAGGAGCTCCAGCCCAGCCTGCCCGCCACGTTCCGACGACCCCATTTCGAAAAGGGCATCAGGTTTCTAAGGCTCACTGCAGGATCGAGCCGTAGCCCGTCTCCTGGCCCGAATGACACAGACCGACAGAAGGCGGACGCTGCCCAGGCGGCGTCCTTCAGGCTGCTCTGCCTGGCCCCGAGCCAAATTAAACTCCAGAAAAAGAAAAAAAAACCCCATCCTGCTAATAATTGTCTCCGGGTGGCAAGAGGACCGTCGGCTGGGACCCAAGGCCCCCCTCACCTGAGTCGTGATGAAGATGGGCTGGCTGGTCACGGGAGAGTTGGTCACGTGGTTCGCATTTTGCATGACCTGGACAGGCCGGAGGACAGGCTGGGTCACCACCGTGCTTAGCCCCGGGGTGGGGTTCTGGGTGAGGATCAGGGGCTGGCCCCCTTGCTGAACCAGAGGCGTGCCGGCTGCGGGAGAGAAAGAGGAGGAGAGGGTTGTTACCTGCAGGGGTCCAGGGATGGGGCTGCCCTCCCACCGCTGAGCCAAGCAGGGGTCTCCCAATTCCGCCACCCTGGTGTGGGGGGGGGAGCCCAGCTACACTCGTCCCTGTTCCTCCCGCGCACGGAGGAAATGACACGCTGTGTGAGTTAGGCTGCTTCCTTCGCTTGTAAGAGAAGAAGGCGCCAATACAGGCAGTCCTTGGCTCACGACACAGTTCGTTTAGCGACCATTCATTGAAAAAAGGGACTTTGGGACTGTTTTTTTCCCCCCACACTCGGGAGCACGGGGGCAGCCTCGCCCTGGTAATGCGATTTAAAATCCAGATGCTTGGCAGCTGGTTCACTTGATGACGGCCGCAGGGATCCCCTTTTGCGACCTGGCCAGTGAAGTCAGTGGGGAAGCCAGGTCCACTTCAGAAACCGACCCGGTCAGGTTCCCAGCGATGGCCCCAACTGACTCCTGAGCCTCGAGCCCAGCTGCAAAAGGCGGCAGCTGACTGACTCATCGGCTGGAGCGATTCGCTCAGCAATGGAGGCAAGAAAGTTCGTAAAACGGGGCAGAACTCACTTAACACGTGTCCCACTCAACAGCGGGGATTTGGGGCTCAACTGTGGTCGCGAGCCGAGGAATGCCTGTATTGGAAGCCCTGGAGTTCAGGCGGGCGGCGGAGGGTTCAAACATGCTACGTGAGCAAAGCACGGGAAAGCGCAGCTCCCTTCTCTCTCCGAGGAACTGCCCCACAATCCCCTGGGCTGGTGCCCATCCCAGGTTAGCGACAGGGCACAGACAGAGCAGGAAAAAGGGGGTACGTGGGTTTTTCCCCAAGATTTCCCTCTGCCCCTTAAGTGGTTGGGGCACTTCTCAGGACGGGGTCCTTGCTTCCGTCCCAGCATGGGGGAACGCCCAGAGACCCGACAGCGGGAGAGCGGGGGAGGGGTAAACCCTCCTCTCTCAGCCTCCCTGGAGGCCCCCCAAGACCCCTCGGGATCCTTACTGCTATTGTTTGCAAAGAGAGTCACCAACGTCTTCTTCGTGCTGTCACTGTTGGAGGTGCCGCTGCTGCTAACGGGCGTGGTGGGGAGGCCGCTGCCCATGGACGTGTGGGCCGCGGGCGGCACAGGGGCGGCCACTGGCTGCACGCTGACCGAAACTGTCGAGGAGGAAACTCAGAGTGGTTATCAAGCCTCCCGCAAGCACCGCCAGGTTTCCGCCATCCCCCTCTGGAAAACGGCCAGGTGTACAATCGGGGGGACGTCTCTGGGCACAGCGGACTAGCAGCTTTCGCTGACTCGTTTTGCAAGGTTTCTTATGTCTTCTGCCGTGGGCTTTAGGCCAGGCTGGTCAAGCCGACCCTGGACTGGGAGGCCTCAAACCTGGGGTGACTGGACCACGGCTAACGGGTCAGAGGGCAAGCTGGCTCTCTGCTGCTTTTCCTGGTTACCCCGGTGTTGGCAACCCTGTTCTGGAAAGAACTTTCCTGCGTTAAAACGGGAACCGTGGCTGTTCTTGGTGTCTGCCAGAAGGCAGGGAAGGAGCAAATGCGAACAGCCCAAGAGGAGGAAGACGAATTATTAAACAGGTCCATCTGTTCCACCCACGGGGATATTAATAGCCGGGGGAAAGGAATTATGCAGAGATTGTTTTACTTTTTTCCCCCCACAGGTGACTGAAGACTAGGAGATGATTTAAAGAGGAGACCACCAGCCCTCCATGACCTGGGACCCTCCCGGTGTGGGGGCTGCCAGGCCGAATGCAGTGCAGCCCGTCAGGAGAAAGGAAGGGAAGGCCGAGTTTGAGAGCGGGAGTGGCCCCATCAAACGTGAGCAGATCTCACTGGGAACAAACTCTGTGACCATTTAACTGGTCTGCTTCCCATCTCGTGGGGGGGGGCTCTGTCTGTGCCCTCTGAAAATGCCAGGGTGCAGCAAAATAACAGTAATAATCAATTAAAAAACGCATAGCAATCCATCTCTCGCACATCATCAGGGACTAGAGCCGGCCACTACAAAACTGCCTGCCGAGACACGAGTTCAGCGACGCAGCGCAGAGGTTCGGGCTTCGGAGGAGGAGCATCACCTGTGGCCGTTTTGTCCACCGAGTTGTAATCTTCCACCATGGAGTCTTCAATCACATCACTGATCTTCTGCCAGGGTTCAAGTTCTTCCTCTTCACATTCCATAAACAGGTCCGTGTCTGCCATCTTGGGCGGAGACAGAAAGAGGCGGGGTCATCCTCGGGACAAGGGGATTCAGAGGGAATTCAGCGGAGGGACGGGGGACATCCATCTAATCTTATTTTTTGGGGGGTGGGGGAGAGCAGCATAACTTGGGCAGCACTTCTGATCTATGCTCTTCTGGTCTGCGCCCCTCCCTCCAGCCAGTTGCTACACCAACCAGGTTAGATCTAACAGTAAGTTACGCTTTCGAGCCTGTCCGAAAAAATGCAAAGGGCCCTCATTTGGGTCTAACATTTGGGGATGCTGAAAATCCCTGTATCTTTAGTCTTTCCTGCTCACCTTAAAACAGAATTTTTATAAGGAAATGTAGCCTTGCAAAATTTTCCACGTTGCCTTCATTGTAATGAAATATTTAGAAACAACACTAAAAGGTTCACTGTGCGATGAGCTGTGATCCGTTTATCCATCGTGACAAATGTATTACACTTTGGTGAAAGAAACGTTAGAGGGGACCAGCTTTTTTAATGAATATTTTGCCATTTTAAGACAGCATGCACCTGCAAGCTTTAAAATACGTAGAAATAGATGGTAAACTGCCAGTGGTATAGAAATACAAAACCGCAACCGGTTCATTCAACCAGGAATGTTTCTACAATTCCATCCCGTTCTTTCTTCCCAAACTCCCAACTGTGGACATCAAAACTATTCTGCTCAATAAGAGGACTTAGTCCTTGTGATAAATATGCTAACGTTTACTTTTCCGCTACACTGACGACAGATGCTCTTACTCACAAAAGCAGGCCGAGAGAATGTGCTAACTTTGATACCGTTTATTTAAAACATGTAAAGAAAACCGGAATATGTTGGAGGGTAGTACTATTAAAACAGACTTCTCCTTAATTAATTCACCATCTTTCAAATGCAAACGCCCTTTGCTTTATACAGCAAAACCAGCACTGTTTCCTTCTTGCTCAGGGAAGGATCCTCCTGGGTTTGTTGTCATGAAAAGCCAGCATACACCAAAGTGTGAAATGCAAAATAAAAAATAAAAAATGCAAACATGGTTTTTGCAGGGATCCAGGATACAATATGTGGCTACTTCATGCTAAAGAAAAGAGACAGGCCTCAGTAAGGGGTGTGTGTGTGTGTGTGTGTGTGTGTGTGTGTGCGCGTGAGAGATTTTAAGAAATGGTTCGCAAAACCAGGGCCTTTGGAATACAATCTACTTTTCCAAAGTTCGACCCGCACAGGTTAAATCCAATAATACACATTTTCAGTTGTTGGGACGCAACCGCTGCGTACAGAAGTCCTACCTCAACAGATGCAGGCAACACGTGAACCCAGCAGGCCTGGCCAAGCAAACCAACTTCCCAAAGCAGCAGCAGCGACTGTGAGAATCGTGAATGCTGAAGACCCACCGCCTAGATCACCGATTCCTCCCTCCTCCTTCCATGCTGTGCTTTTCACACTGTGGGCCTGCCTTGGCTTTCATTGCAGCGAAACTTCTCTGGGAACCTTTCAGTAACTTTAGAATTTACCGCCGGGGTTGCTCCAGAAAGTAACACAACAGATTGTGCCCAGCACTGGACTTGCACCGTTTTGCCCCAAGAACGTTGCTGTCTTTTTTCTCTCTCTCTCTCTCTCCAACACGCTCAGAAAGGAACCTGGAATATTTGGCACTTCCACAGAAAAGGGCTCCCACCCCTCCACGTCTCCCTTCTTCTAACCATCATGCTGAAAAACCACTCAGGATTTAAACAATACAGCCAACAGGTGAACAGATCACCAAAATCACTCAGGTTTTCTTCAGATCCATCAGCAAAAGAGGAGAGGTGTTGTCTGATTAATAATATCCACTATCTACCAAGATGGCAGTGCTAGTCTTTGCTCAAGTTGCAGACTAAGGTTGACATTTGGGGTTTAGCTAGAATAAAGTTTATTTGGGAAATGGTTTTCTTTCTCCATCCACGTTCAAATGTTTGTCTGTTTAAAACAGCAGTTTATAGGATCAAACTTGTAACTGAAATCAACCTATATTATTTCCTTGTTTACTTGTCCGTTTGTGTTGAACTTCTAGGATTACGAGGAACAAAAATCTGCCTTCTTGTTCAGAAACACATCGCATATTTTGGGCCTCTATGTCTTTTCTTTCCTTAATTTTAAAGCCCATTATAGCTACTCTGATTTCTTGTATCCAAGGACTTTGTATAATAATTGGACTGTAAACAAGTGAGGAATTGACGTTTCTATGATGTCAGCTCTTGAAAAGAATGCGCTTAATAAAAATCCATTTGACTTAAGCAGTCAAATGGGGGTTGCTAAAGATCCACATCTTAACCACAGATATTTAGGCAAAAAAAAATGAAGCTCAGAGCAAGAGACATTCAAATCTGTCTAGGAGCAAGACGTCAATTTCCCTTCCAAAGACAGCCAACCATTCAAGTATTCAAACCTAGATCAAAAATGCAAAGAGCTTAACCCAACCTTGGCCACAGAAGCAACTGCTTTTGATTATTTGTTTGTAAAGCAGATTCGGAAATAAAAATATTTGATTTTGCAGGCCAACCAACGAACAGTGGCCAGGAATCCATTATAAAATCTGGTAAAACTTCAATTGCAACATGCAGTTGGTCTAATTTTCTGTTTTTCTCTTTCCCCACCAAAGAGAGAAACAAAAAATTAGACCAGTTCATCTTTACATCTTTTCTTAAGGTAAGAAACACAAGATAAAATAGGAAATCTGCTGGTGATGCCTTACAATGTAGCGGCCTAGTGGTGTAACTGACTACTCCTCAAATAAAGCTAAGATACAATGTAAATGACAGAAGGCAACCTTACTGTAACAACTAGAACAGGCAAAAAAAAGCAGGGACATCTTAAATGTTCACATTAACAGAAAACTTACTTTGTGAATTAGAGAGATGCGATGGAGGGACGTGTAATAAGTTTTTGGGATGGAGCTTAAGGTAAGGCCTCCTAACACCTCTCAGAAGCCTTGTGAAGTGAGGGTAGAAGAAACTGTCACGTATTTCTGAAATAGTATTTCAAATTCCGAATAATCTGGGTCTAAGATGCTATTAAGGCGACCCAGGTAAAAAACATCACACACCAGAAAAGCCAAGCTTTCCATTCGCTACGACACAGGAAATTATTAGCGAACAGTACAGGCAGTTTAGGAGTTATCCAGGATAAACTAAACAACTAGTTATGATAATAAAAAAAGCCGGTGCTGTTTTGACAATTGGTCAGGTTCAGAACCAAAGAAGCAACACAACTATTCTGTTCCAATCCAATATTTCTAAGCATCTCAGTAAAGGCAGGAATAGAATCGTATGAGAAGGATAAACGTTTTCAATGCCTATTAGAGGAAGAAAGGGAGGCTGTTTAGAACAAGATCTAGAAACGTATAGCTCTTGTATGTTTTTAATCCACTAAAATCTTGAGGAAAAGAATATCTGCGCACTAGTGTGTTTCTCACTTTACAACAGACCAGAATTACACACGTTTATACCAATGCAACCAGAATAAACGCACAAAGATTTGTTAAGGGTGAGCTACGCCATCACGACGATATGGTTTTGCATCCCATCTGAGGTGATTATCTGAGGCCGCCCTGCAGTCAGGTCAACTGTTGCATGTCAGGACGACAATGTTGGCTTGTTCAAGAGCTGTAGAATAATGTAAAAACTGCCGGGTTGCCCATTGTAAAGACACGTGGGAGTTTTCCCCGGATGGAGTTTCCTAGACTTGGGGAAAAGGACAATGGGAGTTTACAGCATGGATTTGTGTTGCAGAGAGGGGCCAAGCGAACCCCGCGGTCAAAGCGCAGATATGCCACCAAGACAGCAACTCCAATGGGCCGTCATCTCACTTCTGCGTAGTGCCACCAAACCCAGAGTTTGTGGGATGGGGACGATGGGACTTGGGCAGAGCATGGCTGCCTTTATTCAGGAGCGAAGGCAAAGGATGAGGGGGGGGGAAACGACCTGAAATGGGGCCCGAGAGCAGCCGGGGGGGCTTTTGCTGCCCAAGGACACCTCTGCCCCATGGATGTCTGTCTGTCTTGCAGGTGGTTGGAAGGCAATGCCCGGCCAAACTCAAGGGTGGGCTGCGGTGCAACAGGTGTCTGGAGCACCGAGCGAGGGTAGCACCGCCGTGCCGTGCCGATGAAGCATGGGAACTGTAGTCAGAGGTACCACAAGGCCATTGCAAAAAAGGGGGTCTGCGTGGGGAGGCAACGTTGTGGGGCCCCCCCAGCCCCTCCTACTTTGTGTGTAAAGAATGGGAAGCCACCAACCAACTGCCCCCCACACACACCCCAAAACAGCCCCTCCCCCCCAACCACGAGGGTTATGAATCTGCACTGGGTCTCCCTCAAAAGAGGGGGGGGGAGAGAAAATAATCCCTCCAGCCAACATGGCCGCCTGCCCAGAAGTGAGGACAATGTTGCTGGGGGGGCGTTGTAAGAGACGCCACCCACCCACGCCTCCTTCTTTCCACACGTTTTTTGGCTGGGGGGGGGAGGGAGTCACGCGTCTTTTTTTTTTTATTCTCCCCAACGCCCCCTCCCTCCCCCAGAAAAGGGCCCAGGAAAAAAGGGGGGAGGGGAGAAAACTGCCAGCGGAGGGATCCGACGCTTCGCTCCCCCCCCTTTTTTTTTCCTCGCGCCCCGCTTGTCCCGCCCCTCACGGCGAGAGAGAAAAAAATCCCGGTATTCAGTATCGCTCCGCGCTCGCCTCCCAACCAAAGCGGAGGAGGCCGCCGCCTAGCGGAGGGCTACCCAAGGGGGGGGGAAAGGCCACGCCTCTTTTCTCCACCGCCAGCCAATCGCCGTCCTCCCTGAGCCGCTTCCCTCCCTCCTTTCCCGGCTGAGGGAAAAAGCGTCTCGCGCTCGCTTTTGTGTACCGCGCGCGCGCTCCTCTCGCTCTCGTGCGCGCTGTTCCCTCAGCCCGCCGCTTCGCCCCCCCTCACTCATGGAGAGGGGAGGAAAAAAAAACTGCGAGTTCCCCCCCTCCCGCGGGAGCGGTTCGAACCGGTTTCCAACGGTTTCTCCCCCCCCTTGAAGGGCCCCGCGCACGCGCTCTGCCCCCCTACCGACCGCGCGCAGGCTCTTCCCCACCGCCTCCCTCCTCTCCCTCCCCCCCTCTCCAGCCCGCCCGTCCCGGCGCTTCCCCGCCACATAACGGGGATGGCGCCGACTCACCTTCCCCAGAACGGCGGCGGCCGCCGGTGGCTGCCTCGCCTCCCTCGCTGGGCTCCGAGGCAGGGCTCGTCCCCACTCTTAAAGGGACCCGCGCCCCCCGCCGGCTCCTGGGAGAAGGGCGGCGGCGGCGCGGCTCGCATGAGCCTCCCCGCCCCCTCCCACACGGCTCCTCTTTTTTTTTTTTTTTTTAAAAGGGTTGCGGGTTGGTACACAGAAGCAGCAACAACACACATACATATACACACACACAAAAAAGGGGTCCTGGCCGGCGGAGGGATACGGCTCCGTCGTCATTTCCTTCGCCCCGCCGAGCGGAGCGCGGATTGGCTGTTGCGCGTGACGTCACCGGCGAAGGGGCTCGCCCCGAGCGAGGCTGCCTGGTGGAAGTTTGTGTGAGGCTGACAATCCTGAAGAGATTTGGAGGGAAAAGGTTGCCTCGTTCCTTCTCTTCCTCCGTCATCTTTTTTCCTCCTTCTCCATCATCATCATCTTTTTTTTTTTCCTCCTCTTCATTTTTTTCTCCTCCTCCTCCGTCATCATTCTCCTTTTTCCTCCTCTTCCTCCCCATCATCTATTCTCCATCCTCTTCAAGGGGTTTCCTGAGGTAAATTCTCAGCAGAAGGCAACAAAGTAGAAGACGCCTCCAGGAAGCATAAGGGTTGAGGCCCACCACTTCATCAGTGTCACTTTTTTGTGGGGGAAAGGTCTTCTGAATCAATCAACATCCCTGACTCCTGTTTTTATTTCTGTCTGCAGATGGGGAAATTCTGACCACCGGTAGACATGGGAGAGTCCCACCGAAGGCGACCCTGACCGATGCAGAGCAGAAGCTGTCCGATGCGCCTTTAATCTTCTGATGAAAGATTTGAACCTGATTGTCATACTCTTTATTAATAAACTTGCGACTCTTATGAGAGTGTCATACTGAGATTTTGCCTGTTTTTTTCTCTTCTGTTTATTTTATTTATTCAATTTATATGCTGCCCATCTCAATACTGACTGATTCTCCCATGAGATAATTCGACCATGTGATGATGGTCTATCCTGCCTTCCTGTTCACTTGGCGTCTACAAGATGATCTACAATTATAACGTAGCCAGACAGCATAATGGCCCCCCAAAAAAAACAATTGCAAGAAAAATTATGCCAATTAAAACTCAATTCCAAAGATGCTGCCAAGGAATGAACCTTCCAAAGACCTGGAAAGCAAAAATTCCTGGTTTTCTTCCTCAATTAAAAGAGAAACCATTTCAAAGGAGAAAGCACCCCAAATGGCAGACAGCCAGAAGAAAAAGCCACACGCTTTTGCACAAATGCTACACTTACATAGCTTAATCATAAGAAAGTAGGAGTATGGAGCATCTCTCAATAATGAATAGACCAAAACTTTGAAAATCATGAATGATTGAGAGACAGCAATAAGTCTCTTGGTGTACCCTATGTGTACTTACAGACAAGCCATACTTACAAATGGGCTGCCTACGGATTACTAAAAATGGCAAACAGCATTGTTCCTCGAGTTGAACCACTGAAGCCCCACAATGTTTTTATGAATCATTGAAGCTGTAGGCTTTTGATGCACTGCCTGCTTTCAACAGTTCATCAGGTGGAAGAAGGAGAATCCTGTCCACATTTTTAGTAATATACAGTCCATTCATAAGTAAAAGTTCCGATTTACATTTTAAATGTTACAGTTAAAAATAGAATTAGGAACAGAACTCATTCTTAAACCCAGAAATTGCATGTAACTCCTTATGAAAAGGACACAATATTGCAAACTGCTTTAGGAAAAATAAATTGTACTAAAAAGTTATATATTGTACTATTAAAGTAAACGTGTTTAGTTTAAAATTTAGTTTCAAAGTTCAATCTATCACATTTTAGCCTGTGATCATCAGACTCGAAGAAAAAAAATACAAAGGAGTCAGTATGCAACCCCCCGCCCTCCCATGCAATTGAATCAATTTTCTTTTAAAGTATTTTAACTAATAGAGTAACATATTCAAATTAAATATACTGGGATTCCATAAACTGCCAACAATACCCTGCTAATGAGCATGTATCTCATACAGAATCATATGACTAATATTTTCTTTCTCTAAAATCTGCCCATTATTGAAACTTAACATAAAGTAAAATGTGTTTTATTGTTTCAATTAAATTATCAGGAACTGGAGAAATGAAGAGCTGCCTATCCATCCACCAACAAATAGGAGACAACTATTTGCCATCTACTCACTCGCATAAATAATTCAGGCCCATTTAAATGTCCGTCTATAGTTCTCTTAAATTCTTATGGCCTTGTGTAACTGGTTTTTCTCCTTTTCTCTTTTATTTCTCCTCGAGTCCAATTACCTCATGTTTCTTTTCTTTTAACTTGTAGCTTGAAGGAAGAGCTTTTTTTAGTTGATGTAAATTTCTTTACAAGACAGTAGATTTCTGAAAAGCTGGACAAAAATATAGTAAATACATTCTAAGGAGTAATTATATGCAATGTGTAGCTGTGCATTTTTGGTAATATATGGTCTCCAAAACACCCTTTGAGATTTTTCTAAATCACAAAAGCAAGGATCCATTGAAAATTTTTTCCAAGTGACAGGGTTGCAGATTGATCTTAACCATTTCTGCTTGATTGTAGAGATTAGCATAGTAGGGTTCACAGGTCCGGTTAACTGGAGGAAAATCAGTATAATAACTTTGGGGGTTGTTAGCACATGTAATGAAAATTACACAGATTTAATAATCTTCATATAGTGGTATGGATCAGCTTTGCTTCAGTTAAACAATTTGTCATTATTTGAGCAGAAAAAAGGAACGTCTTAAAAATTCAAGAGAGTGCTGAAATCTGCTAATGGCATTAAAATGTAATCTGTAACATCAACATTCACCATGAAAAATACGTGGTCTGTGCAAGATTTTACAAATTTATTTATTTTGTCAAGTGATTATTAGATAACAGGTATAAGTAAAAACATAATTATGAATACATGAAATGGATACAAATAAGAAAAAAAGAAACAATAGGACAGGGATAGTAGGCACGTTAGTGCGCTTATGCACGCCCCCTACAGACCTCTTAGGAAAGGGATGAGGTCAACAGTAGACAGACAAGGTTAAAGTTTTGGGGGTTTGGGGAAGAAACCAGAGTCAGGTAGAGTATTCCAGGCATTGACCACTTTGTTGCTGAAGTCATAGTTCCTGCAATCAAGTTTGGTGCGGTTTACCTTGAGTTTGTATCTATTGCGTGCTCTCGTATTGTTATGGGTGAAGCTGAAGTATTCATTGACAGGTAGGACATTGCAATATATGATTTTATGTACTATACTTAGATCAAACTGAAGGCGGCATAGTTCTAGATTGTCTAGATCTAAAATTTCAAGTCTGGTGGAATAAGGTATTCTGCTACGAGTATTGGAGAACTCTTGTGAAATATTTCTGGACTTTCTCAATTGTATTAATATCAGATATGTAATGCAGGTTCCAGACTGATGAGCTGTATTCAAGTATTGGTCTAGCAAATGTTTTGTATGCTCTAGTTAGTATCAAACAGAAAAAGAATTCACTCAGAACTGAGCAAAACTGAACAACTACTCACCCCATCTTATTAAATATTTGCTATTTGGACTTCAATTAACAGTAACAAGGGAAGAAAGGCATTCCTAAGGGTACTTTCAACTAGAAGGACAAAAACTATCTCCAAAGTCCACCGGCAGTTGCTTGACAGGAAAGCAAATGAGCTGCCAGATCTCCGCTGCTTGCCAGTTTCAAAGCTATATTTGTGCCAAGCCTGTGCTGGGTGCTAACATACTCTTTGAAACGCCACCTCCAGCTAAGGGTTTTTTCTTTTCTTCGCACTTTCAGCCCAAAATAGGAAGGGTTTTCTGTCTGACGAAGCTAAAAGATGAGGCAATCAACTATTGACAGGACAAAGAATCCGATCCTTCAAGAAAGAAACAAGAGACAGCTTACAGAATCAAAGGAAACCATCGGATTTTGTACTGAAAATACAGCCCTCCCCATCTGGAATTGCTCAGCAGTTTGCAATAGTCCTCCTCCAACACGCCTCTTCTCCACCTACTGAAATACAGATATATATATATATATATGCTCCTCCGGAAAAAGTCTTGCCTCTGATCTGGAGGATCCTCTTCGTTGGTCAGAATTCTTTGGAGGGAAGAGAGCAGGAATCATCCAAGTCCACCACCATGGGTAAGCCAAAACAAGACAGAGGCCACATTCTTTTACCCAGCTGCAGAAACGGCCATGATTTGTCCAGGGCTTCCTGCGTAGTTCAGACTTTCCCAATGTAGAAGCTCAGGGACAGAGAATGATTATTATTGTAACACTTTTGCAAATTGGGGAAAGCCAGTAATGCAAATTTTTTTGATGCAAATAGCTTGACAGGAGACCGTGTATAAACTTTAATACAGGTGTACTTTAAAAAGTGTGCCCTAACTCTCAGGGAGTTTAGCTTTTGAGACACAAGGTGCCAGTGAGATTTCAAAACTTCTTCTCTTTTAGCAGCATTTCTTTCCTAGAGAGTTTTGGTCCAGGCAAAGTCCCTAAAAATCCCAATTGCTAAGAAAATCCATTCTTATTGCAACAGGATACCGATAATTCACCCGTTTATTTCCAAAGATGTATACTTAGGATTCTACTCTTTGCAACACAGGAAAAAAAAAATATCTCCGCTTTTATGCTGTTTTTGTGGTTTGATCCTCTGAATTTATCTTGAAAGGAAGGTCCTATTCTCTTTGATAAGCACTCTGGCGTAGCACATGCAGTTTAGGTTACATATGAAACAAGTTTATCTGCATTTTGGTGTGCCTTTTTTGTTTTAAATTCCTATACTCCCGATGTCTTGTGTCCTCTAGAATCTCCCAACCACTGTTGTAAACCCCCCACCTCTCAAAAAAAAAAAAAAATCCCCAGGGCGGCCCCTTCAGCAATGGTAGGAGGACCCTGTCATTAGCAGGAAAATGTATACAATGTCTCTCCAAATACTTTGCATTTATCTCTCTTAGTTGGGGTCAAAGCAGGGTATGAGAATGGGAGAAGCTGGTCTAAAGAACAGCTCTGAACCCTATTATTGTGCGCAATTCTATCTTTCTCTCTTAAGAGAGATTACTTTTTGTGTCAGGAAATGATCTAGAAGAAAAAAAGCCACTTTCAGAAACTGGAGAAAATATTAGGTGCTCTTCCCAGTCCCACCCTCCTCCACACGACTAAAATTGGGACTAAGGAAAAGCAACTGTGCCATAAAAGGTCTTCCATGGAAACACCCAGTGAGATTGGCTTTTGAATAAATATAATGCTGTTTATATAAGCCTTTAGTAAAGAGAAATGAGCATTTAAGCGGAAAGTTGTAGAGAGTATAAAGGTGAATAAAGGACTTGTTTAAGAGTACCCATTTACAGAGGGAGGGAGCGAATGTTGTGCCACCTTTACTCAACCTTGCAATTAATTAGGTGATTTTAGGTCTGTGGGTCACTATCAGCTTCACTGTTATGAGGAGAAAAGGAAACGATCCGGTCAAAGAATTGAAAACCATCCCTGTTGAAATTCATCCCTGTCCTTCCAGATGTTGAACCATTCAAATTAAGTGTACCTTCAAGTCCGTTTTAACACCTGGCAGCCACCTGGGCAAGCTCCTGTAGTCCCCTCAGCAATGTTTCCCGAAGTGCTTTGCCACTTTCTTCTTCCTAGGGTGAAAGGGAGCACCGGGCCCAAAATCACCCAGCTGGCTTCATGCCTGAGTTAAGACCAGAACTCACCGTCTCCTGGTTTCCAGCCTGCCTCCTTAAACCCCTTCGTCCACCTGGCTAAAAACTAACACACGGTCTTACTGAACATCGACCCTGTGTTGATTTTAATTTATGCTTCTAACTTTCTGAACCTTGGTTTCCTTTTTAATTTTGTTAGCTGGCTCGAGACCTTGCTTAGTAGAAAGTGGGCGTATAAGCTGAATAAATAATATCAGATAACTGAGCTAACCTTGGCATGCCTTATGCAGCAAGAAAGCTTTGCTGATGAATTTGAACAGGGAGAAGAAATGACCCCTGTACTGCCGGTGTTGCTCAAAATGGTGTTACTCAAATTTGAGTTTCTAAAAAATTAAACCAATTATCCTATCTGTAAAACAACCACCCACCCAATTCCAAGTATGGACTGGAATCCATTTGACCAAGATGCAAGTAGCGTAAAGAGGTACGGCAGTCAGTAGCTTAACAAACTACATAAAGGATATATAATCATGTATCAGAAAGGGGCAGTTCCTTTAATCCTTTCAGCTTTCATCCAACTTGCCCAACAAACTCAATTCTCTACAGCCAACCCACACATAAATTTGCTAGACAGAGCCATAGCTGAAGGTTTTAAGATAGCATTTTCCCAACTCTGGGATCCACTCAATCAAGTCAAATAAGCCAATTAATATGGCTACTTTCGCTGCAAGACAGACTCAGGAGACCTGCGCTAACTCAGTTTCCAGAGAAATTGATCAGCAACATCTACTTATCTTGCATAAGCTTCGATTAGGAAGTCCATCCAATTTGAAAACCATAATTTACTCACAGTGCCAGATTAAATTACAGAAATAGAGACACAGAATGTAAAGTCTGCAGCCAACTGTCTTCTGGCTACTTTAAAAAGTACGATGGCTGGGTTTATACAATGCATTAAGCGATGGTTTGTTTAATTTGTAGTTTGTGCAATGTATCTTAATTGACTGGTTTGCAGATGCTAAGCCGGAGCCCAATAAAACACAGGCAACCTTAGCACAATGAACTATAATTCAACTGATGAAGTTGTCATGAGGATATCTCCATTTGTGATTGTCTCAATCCATCCTCAACTACCATAAAGCCATTTGATGTTCATAATTTTTTTTCTTTGTCTGTAGTTTAATATGTTACCTATTAAATCAAACAAGCCAGTGTAGCAAATCACGGCTGTATTGCTCTGTTGCAACAGAATCAACAAAAAAATGTGTGTTAAAGACCCAACCATTAAAGGCTGAATGCTGGGTTTTGCAAGAGGTGAAGGCTCACCCAACCTCCATATGTGCAGCGATAAAGCAGACAATGCAATATAAATAAACCAGTGAGGTAAATAGGTATGGTAAAATCTGGGACGAAATGTCCAACCTCAAGACTGGGTTATCAGGCAGTTTCTCCATTGGGCCAATAAGTGACCAACTTCCCAGGGTCCCTGCGAGCAGAGACTTGTTGGGAATTTAGAGTTAAGTCTCAATCACCCAGAAAGCATCACGTCAGGAACGGACATCTGCAATTCTTTTGCAATTACCCACCAAACGTTCTTTGGGCCAGTCCCACCACTTGCGTGACAGCAGCAGCAACTGGGCAATTGCCCAAGTAGGCTTATGAAATGTTCTTCCCGCTCTTCAAGCTCGAAAATAAAATTTATGACAAGGGAGTATTCAGCCGTGCACAGCTTCCCTCTAAAGATTGGATGCATCTGCTGCAAAATTCTTGATTAAGCCAAGGACCAGAATCTTTCTTTTAAGGAAGCCAAATTCAGAAGGCCCCAATGGAATTACTCCTTCATGCAGTTTCCTCTCTCTCTCTCCCTTGACGCACAACCAGTGTTAAACATGGAAGAGGCACACAGCTGCAAATTCTGAACCAAGCTGACCCACGTTTCCCCATCCGCACGGAAGAGTCGTCCTGAAAAGGGCCGCATTTTTCCCACACTGGTTGCCCCAGGGCCATTGGAGCCAATGCTGGTGAGAAGCCCAACGGTTTCTCATGTTTCGCAGTGACTGGTTGACTGTTCATGAATCTGGAGGCTTCACTGGGGAGGATTGACTTCAGGACACTGAATGAAGTGCATCTGCAGCAACAGCCAAATCACACCTACACGGACAAAACACAATTCACACCTGCACCATCACACAAGGTCACTGCATGTCTCAATATGGCTTATATATTTGCCTGAATCCGTGCAAATGTTGCAGGCTTGCACTAAGAGAACAGATCAATAAGAGCAACACTTCTGAATATTTCGACCTCTTCCGTGCGAAAAGTCAAAGTGAGCCAGGAACGCCTGAAGAAGACAAGGTTCATTCTGCATCAAAGCAACGGAAGTTAGCACAAGGTTTTTATAAAACCAGGGCAGGCTATCCAATTTATTTTACTTAAATAATTTATTTAACACTCACCACACCTCTGATGTCTCAGCAGGGAACGATAGGCTTGGAGTCATGAGCACTAGCAACTTGAAATCTTAAAAAGACTCACAGGGAGCGGAATTCAGCCCTAGAATTCCCTTCTCTGAAGCTACCGAGAAATTTATGAGGAAAAGCCACAATCAAAGGGACACAATATTCCAAAAGGATCTCCTGGGCTGATTTGGCTCCGTCGCCGTCCTTGTGTGTTTTTAACTTTCTTCTTGTCCATTTTGACTTGCAGCAAAATGCGGAGAGTGCGGGCCGGGATACAGAACCCCCTTGGATGCAATGAAAGGTGAGGGGAGACCATTTGTGTGTGTGTGGGGGGGGGTGTCTGTCCTAAAATGAAACCACGCTTGGATAATCATTGTGTGTCCTCAATATTGGCCTGGCACAGAACCTGACCCAGTTACGAGCAATTCTCGCCTTATATTCATTCATTTAGTGATCGTTCAAAGTTATAGGTAACTTTCCTTCTTCTGTAACCCGCTCACCTTTCTTCCAAAAGGACCCCGGGAGGAGATCGTCTACCTGCCTTGCATCTACCGAAATACCGGAACAAATAAACCAGATTACTTGGCCACTGTGGATGTGGACCCCAAATCCCAGACTTACTGCCAAGTAGGTTTAATCTTGTTCAAAACTGGTTTGTCTGAACTGAACTGAACTGAGTTCAAACGATTTAGAAATCGGAAAGCAGCAGTTCCTGCCTGCTTTGGGACCTGAGTAGTGCAGGGTTGCAGAAGAGAAATGTCCACAAGACATTCACCCACCCCCACACCCATTCTCCACTGCCCAGCGACACGTCCATCCCATAAATCAGGGTTTAAATTGCTTGCTTGCTTCTGGGGAGGAGGGAGCTGCCTCCGTTCAAATCTTGTTTCTAGGTCTAAGGCCACCGTCTCCAACTTTTAAGACTTGTTTGACGTCAATTCCCAGAATTCTTCAGCCAGCACTTCAAGTCCGCAAGTCTTTAAAAGTTGCCAAGGTTGGAGACCCAAGGGGTTGATTAAAATAATCTGGGGGAGGGGGAGAAAAGAATAAAGGGGCAGAGCATTGCCAGACATTAAGACTAGAAATAGCCCAATTATAACTGAACTTTCTTTGGGCCACGTAAGGCACACTTGGAATACCTCATCCGGTTTTTTACACCAAAATATTAAAAAAAAAAAGACTCTAGAAAGGGTGCAGGTCCAGCAGCTCTTTGAGGACCTGTCCAAAGGTCCCAAATGGGCTCTCTGTCACCCCACAGGTCATCCACCGCCTACCGATGCCCAACGTTAATGATGAGCTGCACCATTCCGGCTGGAACGCCTGCAGCAGCTGTTTCGGAGACACCACCAAGAAGCGCAACCGCCTCATTCTTCCCAGCCTCATCTCATCCCGGATTTATGTGGTCGACACTGGCACCGACCTGAGGGCCCCCAGGATCCACAAGGTACACGCCAGGCCTGGCTGATGCTGCGGGGGCCTTCAGGAAGGCCTCCAAAGGGGGCTTCACGGAACCATCTTCCTTCTCTTCCCTTTGCAAGCTTCCTTCACCCTCGGGACCGTCCCGTTTCTCACCGTGCAAAGCCTGGATGGTGAAGGGGGTATCTATCCACGGTCCATCTGCCCATCCTCACCTCTTCGGCATAATCTTGCATTGCAGGTCGTCGAGCCCATTGACGTCTATTGGAAGTGCAACTTGGCAAATCCTCACACCACACATTGCCTGGGCAATGGTGAAATCATGATTAGCACCATGGCTGACCCTTCCGGCAATGGAAAAGGTATGTCTTTTTTATGTTTTTTTTTTTAAATTCTGTCTGTATTATTTTTATAAATAACTCAAGGTGGCCGACTCTGCCATCTCTGGATGGCCCTTGGAGGAGCTGTGCCATTCGGCTTCTGTTCCGAAAGAATTTAACGCAATATTGAATGCTCATATCAACATATTAATAAAAGAGTCACCTTAGGGTGAGATGGGCAGCAAATAAGTTTAACAAACAAATAATGTTTCACTCTCCCATGCAGGGGGGTTTGTGCTGCTGGATGGAGAGACCTTTGAGGTGAAGGGCAACTGGGAAAAGGGCACCAAAGTCCCACCGTTTGGCTACGATTTCTGGTACCAGCCCAGGCACAACGTCTTGATGAGCACTGAGTGGGGAGCGCCCAAGTGCTTTGCCAAGGGATTTAACCCAGCAGATTTGGAGAAAGGTGAGAGAACGGCTCCTTGCTATCACTGCTTCCAAGAGGTCTCTTCCAGGAGTTCTACAGGCACCAGGTATCCTCAGATCAGAAGCCAACCAGGCTGTTGCGTCAAGGAGAACCTGGTTGGAAGCATCTTCTATGGTCCAGAATCTAGAGTTGAGTTGCAGAATAAGGGCTGGAGAAGAAAGAAGCGAAGCTAGGCAGGAACTGAGTGAGATCTGAGGGTCCATGAGACTCAAGGTAGCATCTCTTCCCACCAATGAGAAGATATTTAGAGAAACAGCCTTGATGGGGCCTGGTAGGCAAAGATATGTCACACGGCGGCCGGGAGCTACAGAAGGTTGGAGGCCAATGTCTCAAAAAGTCATTAGCTCTTCGGTGTTGTTGTCGCGTTGTATGAGATCTGAGGAAATTTTGTCTGTGTGTGTGTGTGTGTGTGTGTGTGTGTGTGTGTGCACACCTATGCTTGTGAAATTACACAGGGCAGTTTCTGATCCTGGCTCAAGCACAGATCATCTGCCAGGAATGAGTGGAGAGAGAAAGAAAAACTTACCAATAAAGGAGAATATTTGTAGCTCTTGATTGAAATGAGGACTTTTGAGTTAGCGGTATGTTTTCTTCGATGGATCCTTGGTGCTCTCGGAGGTTGGTCATTGTCTTGCAGATGTTTCATGACCTCAACTCTTCAGGGCTAGTGGAGTTTGCTGCAAATGCTCCTTCTAGTACTGACGGTGTTTCCTACCTGGTTTATGAAACATCTGCAAGACAACGACCAACCTCCGAGAGCACCAAGGACCCATCGAAGAAAACATACCGCTAACTCAAACCCGATCTCCTTCCTTTCTCAAAACCACCCTCTATCCCTCTCTCACATCCGCTTCTGAAGGCTGCTACGGCGGAAACATCAACGTGTGGGACTGGACCACTCACGAGTTCATCCAGACCATCGACGTGGGCAAGAACTCCATTCCGCTGGAGATCCGATTTCTCCACGACCCAGATGCGGCTGAGGGGTACATTGGCTGCGCCCTCAGCAGTGCCGTCCACCGTTTCTACAAGACCCCGGTAAAAACAAAAGCCAAAAAAAAAAAAGAAAAAGGAATAATCCCAGCAAAATAGAATCAAGAACAGTCTCGGGGAAAAGCCCACCGCTGAGCCCTGGCACACAGCCATCAGCCCACAGCCTTAGAGGCCCTCTAGAATTTTTAGGGTCCTGGGAACTACTGGCTGCTAAATGAGCCCGGCACATTTTTTTCCCCAATTTTCATGTTTTTGGAGGGCTTTCTTTTTGCACCTTGGAATGCAGAAAGACGACCTCAAAATGCTATCTAGCTAACATCTCTTCGAGTCAAACTTGACTTCCAAAGACGTCCCAGGAGCCTCTTAGCAATAGGCCTTTTTTCTGGGACATTTTTTAAAATAATTCTCCATCTTAGCCTCTAGCCTTGGGATTTGTTGACGGTGCTTCATCCAAGCACTCAGCAGGTCTGACCTACCTGAGGTCAGCCAAGGTCAACCTGGTGCCACAACTGGGCCAGCCAAATTCCATTGTATACCGAGAAGTTCCTGAGTCACAGATTGCCACTCAGTCACAAATCCACTCTTTCCGGTCCTTCCTTGCATCATCAAAGGTCGATTGGCAAATAATGTATAAGGAATCAGATAAATATTCACTTAGTTTTTGCTCTGGCATTCAGTGCCCAGAGTTGCAAGAGAGTGGGAATTAATTGATAGAATGAGTAAATAATTGTCTCTAACCTGCCCCTTTGCAAGCAGTTCTTAGGCGCACTCTAAAACAAAACTGCTACCTATCCTGACCTGAAGGAATAGGTGTCTCTGGGGGTTGAGCTACACCAAGGGTAACTCCTCCCCTTCTGGCTGTTTTGTTTTTTTCCCTTCAGGAAGGAACCTGGGCATCAGAGAAGGTGATTCAAATTCCCAACAAGAAGGTCGAAGGATGGCTTCTACCAGAAATGCCAGGCTAGTCCAACAAGCTTTCTATTGAGCGTTTCTGTAATCGATCTGAGTTGTGCTCCGCCACCAACTTGAAAAGTCTTGCTTTGGAACTAAATTCAAACTCTAGCTAGATATAAACTTCTAGCATCTCGTCTCCAAGCCAGGAAGGGATCCTGTTCTTTAATTTACTCCTTTGATAATTTAATAGAGGATTCAGGGAAAGCGGTGGCCTTAGCAAGGTTCCATAATTGTCACACGACGTGGATTTTGTAGAGGTGGGTACAGAAGAAATATTGACTCATTGCATGAAGGCCGTAAACATCTCAGCTGTGATTTTCAATGCAACTTTATGTCATAAAACTATGCGGCCCTCACGCGATGAGTCAATATTTCTGTCAGATACTTGCAAATCTGCTTCTGGCCCAGCTGAGAATTTTGGGACGACCTTGGTTCCCCCTGCAACTTGCTGCCTCCTGATAACACAAAGTTCTCCCGTAGGCCTTATCACCGATATCCTGATCTCCCTGGATGACCGCTTCCTCTACTTCAGCAACTGGCTTCATGGAGATATCCGTCAATACGACATTTCCAACCGTCGGAAGCCCAAGCTAGTGGGACAGGTAGACCCCAGGGCAGGGGAGGGGCGCATGGGTGCTGGGCGTTGCTGACTCTGCAGGCGATATGGAATGTCCTCCCCCATCCGTGTCTCCGCCCACGCAGGTGTTTCTGGGAGGTAGCATTGTCAAAGGGGGTCCCGTCAAAGTGATTGATGACCCAGAACTGGACTGCCAGCCGGATCCATTCGTCATCAAGGTGGGTCCTCACCACCCTTGGATTGTTTTTGACTTTTTTTTCTTTGTTAGATCACTGCCTTAACCGTCTTCCCAACAGCCTTTCTGTCTCCCTCCGTTTCGTTTCCAAACGGTGCAAGGGATGTTCAGCTCCGCAGGAAATTTCACGGCCAAACCATCTTCGTAGAATACAGAATAACCGGGTTGGAAGGGACCCCTTGCAGTCTCGCAGTCCACGGGGTGTCCAAACTTGGCAACTTTAAGCCCTGTGGACAGCATGGGGAATTCTGGCTCAAACCCTCTTCTGCCTCTTGGGTTCCAAGTTAAGCGAGGCCCATTTTCTCATCCTTCACAGGGCAAGAGGGTTCAAGGTGCCCCGCAGATGATCCAGCTGAGCCTGGATGGAAAACGGCTGTATGTCAGCACCTCCCTCTACAGCGGATGGGATAAGCAGTTCTACCCGGACATGGTCAAGTAAGATGGCTTCTCCTTTGCTTATTAAAAACCGAAACAAAACTGGGTCTTGAAACCAGTTCCTCGGGAGATCCGCAGGCAGAAATAAATCTGGAAGTTGCGTGGTGCAGTTTTTGATGGTTGCTAGAATCATTAAGGCCTCCATTGGTCATTTGTGCGGAATTTAAAAGGGCATTTTAAATAAACGTTCTTTCAGTCTAGGCAGTTATGCTTGTGTGTCCGTAGCATCAACTTCCACCTTCGAGTTTCATAACTGCAGTTGTCCTCAGAAGCACATGGTAAAATTCTGTGTTATCTTTTTTTTTTTTCTCCTCCCCAGGGAAGGCTCTGTCATGTTGCAAATCGATGTGGACAGCAAGAAAGGAGGCTTAAAAGTGAACGAAAAGTTCTTAGTGGATTTCGGGAAAGAGCCACATGGCCCAGCACTGGCCCATGAGATCCGCTATCCGGGCGGTGACACCACCTCCGATATCTGGATCTAACGATCTCCCTGGCTTTGAGCTGTCATACTAAGCAAAAGGTCTTTTTCTTAAGATGCTACTTCTTTGCCTGCTTCCGTGTGCGGTTCCTCCAGATGGGATATTCCTTGTTCTGCCACAAGAGGTTGCTCACACACATCCTGTCCTCTTTGCTGTGACCAAGTCACAACCCCGGGACTTTTGATACAAGATTTTAAGCATCTCCGCCTTCCGCTCTCACTATTGCATAACAATGGAATTGTACATTTTTACCCAGAAGGAAATATTTTAAGAAGGCAATAATCGTCCCCACAATTTTCTCAGGGAGCATAAAACCCATGTTTTTCTATCTTGAGACTCCTGTAGCCGAGGCCTCCCTAAGCAAATGATCTGATCGCTTGTGTGCAGGTAGTCCTTCACTTATGACCATAATGGGGGGACCAGAATCTTCACTGCTAAGAGGCAATTGTGAAGTGAGTTGCACCCTTTTTTTGTCACGGTTACTAAGCGAATCCTTGCTACTGTTCAGTCAATCATGCAGTCGTTAACCGAGTCCAGCTTCCCCCGTTGGGTCTGCTTGTTGGAAGCTTGCAAATGTTGATCACAGGATTCAGGATGCTCCAAAGGTCATAAATTCACGCTGGCTGCCAAGAGCCCAAATTTCAATCACCTGACTGTGGGGATACAACAGTCATACGTGCGAGGATCAGTCATAAGTCTCTTTCGGCGCTTTTGTACCTTTGAACAGTCATTAAACAAATTGTTGTAAGTTAACACTAGCTATATTTGGAGTAATGCAAACTCATTTGTTGGTATGTGTGAAATCTTTTGATTAAGAAATCATGGAACACAAGGTTGTTTGTGATTTAATGAGCAACAGAGCCATTCTTGGAATGTCTTAACATTACCTCTAGCATAATGCTTCGGAAAGAGAATAATATATTTCTTTATCTTTGCTATTCATTGCTCTTTTTAAAAAAATAAAATTTTCAAGATCAAAGAGTTTCTCGCCTACGCAGATTTCTTCTCTTCGATCGGACGGTACATGTGTCAGCGGGGGTCTCTTTTGCACTGGTTTAGCATGTTCCCAGTGCGCACCAAATTGCGTTCACCCTTTTTTGAATTTGGATGTTCACGACGGCTGTGGAAGCCAGGAAACCAGGCTTCAGATAAGAATCGGATAAGATCAGAAGTAACTAAAAGGCTGGGAGAAGAAGTCAAAGCAGATATTGTGGGGCCTCGGGCTCTGAACAGCCCCCCAGGGTGTGAAATCAGCTGGCAGAGCTTCTCTGGTGGGAGAGGGAGGGAGGGAGGGAGGGTTGTTTGGCCTCTGGGCTTTCAGGAATCGGTTCTTTCTTTCGCCCGAGTTCCCTCCCGGAGACCACGCCTTCTGGGGCAAGACTTGCCGTGGCTCTCCTGGGTTATATAAACCGCCCGCAAGCCACCTGGAGGAAATCAGGTGTGCCGGTCCAGGTGGAGCAGAAGAAGAAAGAGAGGGGAAAATGTTCACACATCAAAGAAAGGATGCTGAGGAGGACCTTCCAAAGATGCCAACCAAAGGTAGGAAGTCATCCCATCTCTTGTCTCTCTGACATCCCGTTTCTCCCCCGATGCCACCTGTCCGCCGCCTTTCTTAAAAGACCCACGTCATCCTGGCCAAGATGGGGGGTCCAGAAGAACAGAGGGGCTTCGGAGGTCTTTTAGCTCAGCCCCCTGTTTGGGCACGAGACCTTGTACCATTCTAGTCGGAAGGGACCTTGGAGGTCTTCTAGTCCAACCCCCCTGCTCAAGCAGGAGACCTTATATTATTTCAGACAAATGGTGGTCCAGTCTCTTCTTCAAAACTTCCCACAACTTCCGTATATGTGTTCTGCGTAAGCTCAGGGCAGCAACCTTTTCAACAGGAACAACGCTTGAAAAAAAAAAAGGGGGGGTCCTTCCTCCTTCGAATTCCCATTATTACCACCCTCCCTGTCGGCCTTCTTAACTTGCAATGCAACCAAGCGTCTATTTTCCTATTTCACATATTTTCATCCCGCTCCTCAGCCAAAGAAACTTCCAGCAATCGATATTGGTACAGGCCAAATTGGGCTTACAATCTACCAAACTAGAGATGAGCTTGAGCCTAGCATGGCACGCGAGGAAAACTGACCAGGAGGGAGAAGGAAAAACACAGCCGTTGTTATTTCTGAGTTACAGATCGGTTTAAAATATTCTTTCTCATCGGTAAGAGGGAAGCAAATTCCCAACAATGAACTTGTTTCAAGCTCATGGGGGGGGAATCGAACTGGTTTCTGACTTCCATGGGGAGCGTGATGGGTGTCCAATGGGGACTGGTGCCCACCTATCTGAAATGTCTTTTTGTCAATAGTTGTGAGGCAAATTATTTGACTGCTTCCTGATTGGTGAGTCTTATATCCTGTCCTAGAAACATACCTAATGAAGACTAATATGATAACTGGCGGGTTGTTTTCCTGCTATTAATTAATTAGGGACTGAAAGGAAGGGAATGAAGACACTGTCACCTCCTTGCGTCAGATTCAGGGAATTGCCAACTTTATCAAAAGTTAGTCACCTCATGTCAGATTGGATGCCAAGGTCATCCGGCTTCTTCCTTTAAGCATTCCAGAAGAGTGTGTGTGTGTGTGTGTGTGTGTGTGTTTTGCCATGACAGCATCAACAGACGAGAAGGAGTATTGGGCACGCAATCAGAGATATGAGTTGCCACAGCAGAACAATTAATTCACAGGCAGGGATGAGCAATGAATTGTGGAGTTATCACGGTATTGAAATAAATGGGGAGATGAAACAGCCAATTCAGGAGAGATAATGAGCTGCCATTTTGTTTCCGCCAAGTCTTTAATTGAATGTTTTGAGGCGTTGGTTCCCTTTGTCCTCCTTGAACCGTTTGACTCACAGGGAGTCCTCCCCTGGTTCTGTGGCTCTGCTGGTATACCTGCCTTACCAGATAGATCAGGTAGGAAACACCGAAAGATAAGCTGGCCTCACCTCCTTGCGAAGCTCCATTAACAGAAAGTACCGATCTCCCTCCGTCTTCTTAGCAATCTGGGAATTTAGGGAAGGTCCCCCTTGAGGCTCTTACTCCATCCATGATGCAGCTGGGGGCTACTGCTGCCTCTTATTGGACTGTTCTGCAGGCAATATTTCTTCCCCGCTCAAGGTCTTTCCCACATACCAGCTTCAGGGAAGACGAGGATCTTTTGGATCAAGAGCTGTGTCCAAAATCATCTCTTCTGCTTGGTCCCAGCATGGACAGTTCTCTCTCCTGATGCCAAGTTGCTAAACTATTATTTCTTTCTTTCTTTCTAAAGGAGGAGGAGGAGAAGGAGGAGAAGGAGGAGGAGGAGGAGGAGGAGGAGGAGGAGGAGGAGGAGGAGGAGGATGTGGCTGTCACGGCCCCGGATACGCAACGCCCTTAGATGCCATGAAAGGTAAGTACGATGGATCCTCTCTCCTTCTGGATTGTAGCGCAGGGCAGGTGATGTTGGGACCAGACAGAGCCACAGGAAGGAAGGATGGTTTCACACTTCATATTAAACCACTCATGTGAACCCTGTGCGTGTGGATCAAGCTCAACCTGGACGTTGAGCCCTTTGGTGAGGGGCATCTGACCTGGCATTGGGACCCTTGACCAACAATCAGTGCGCTTCGATCCCACAGATTCAGGAAGCGATTCAGAGTGCCACGGGGCAGCCCCTACTGCCCTATGCGCTCAACCCGGCTTCATGCAAATAACAGAAAAGCAGAGGTGGAAGGGACCTTGGAGGTCTTCTAGTCCAACCCGCTGCTTAGGCAAGAAACCTTGTCTCATTTCAGACAAATGGTTGTCCAATCGCTTCTTTAAAACTTCCCGTGTTGCAGCACCCACAAATTCTGGAGGCAAGCAGTTTCACGGGTTAATTGTTATCGCTGGCCAGGAAAAATCTGATAGGGATTTCTGCAGAGCCCACTCAGCTCGGTTAACGTGAACCTGGTTAGGATTTTGTGTTACTACAGATCACTGAGAAGCCTTCTGTTGTGATTTAGCTCGTAGCTTGGGTTAATCCAATAACCATGTTTATCGGGACGGGCAAACGCGAGTCCAGCTACTGGTAGCTCAGACAGAACTGTGTTTAAGATTCCGACGCAGGATCCTAAAATGTGTTTCCCCCCCCCTCCCCAGGCCCTCGGGAGAGGCTGATCTACGTGCCTTGCATCCTAACCGGCACAGGGACCCAGAAGCCCGATTATCTCGCCACTGTGGATGTGAATCCCGAATCTCCGGATTACTGCAAAGTACGAGGTTACTGAGTTCTTGGAGATGATGTTGTGAACGCTTGTTCGGTTTCTCTTTCCTTGGGCCTCTCTTGAACACAACTCATGTTTGGTGGCTGGGGGTGGAAGTGGAGTAAGGTTGCATTTCTACACCCCTTAGGCTAAACTGTGGTACGTTTTAACCACGGTTTATTGAACGAGCCAGTGGCTCCTGGATTTCACATCACGCTCCTCCAGAGCAAACGAACTGGGATGCAGTAGTAGAGTGTTCCCCGTGAACTTCGGCAGCATCTTAAAGAGAAGGCTAAGGCTGGAGAATATCCTCGAAAGCTGGGGTGGGGAAGGGTGCTGGTGCAGGAATTCTGGGAGTTAAAGCCCACAAGTCGTAAAAGGACCATCATTCCTGCTTTTAAGGTTGAAGAAACGACCTTTGCACCCTCCATGGTAGGTGCAGATACAAAGAGGACGGGAGTCCTAGTCATTTCAAGCCGACGCCTCAAATTCTCTCCCTGAACTGCTAACTTTTTGTCGGAGCAGAGGCTGTTGCTTGAGAATGCATAATCGTTACTGCAACATTAAGCATTATACATCAAATTGCAAACCTAAAACGGGACTCTGTTTATGAAACTGCAAAAAAAACCAAACCCTAACATTTACCAACATGTTCAGACCCACTGTTGGTCTCTGAGACACTTTTTGCTAATTACTAGACTCACAACATCAAGACCTGGGAATAATGAAGTTAAGTCAAATTAAGGGAGTCCTTTGTTCTAAGCCCTGCAAAGCTCAGCCGCTCTCAGCTTCCGGACCGTTTTGAGCTGGTCTCTTGGTCAGTCTGTTTGATACTCCTGACTCAAGGTGGATCTGCCTTTTTCACATGCCTGTATCAGCAGAGACATAGACTCTAGATCCACCCAGGCAGAGGCACAGGCGCCCAAACTGGATGCAGCTGTGTCTGGAACCATCGTGTGAGAACCATGGGAAGCCTGAAGGCAAGAGAGGGTCATGGGTGGGTCCCACAGACACCAACACTATCATGCACTGGGAATGCTCCCAATCCACAAAATTGGAGGTGCCGGCTCTCGCATTCACACACGATCCAATGGTGTCCACAGGTCCCGACCCTAAGGGCTGGAATGGTGGAGCACTGCTGTGCAGAGGTTGCATGAAAGATTGGGAAGGGAAGGGAAACGTCTATGCGTTTTAAGGGGCTATGTTGGTGAGGTTCTGCTGCCCGCTGGAAGAGTGAGAAACCTACATTCTGCCGGCTACAATCGACACTTCTTTCCACCCAAGCAGGAGGAGACGTTTCTGATAACGTAGTTCCATTCCGCAAGCGGCATTCCGCATCCAGAGACACACACAAGTCGCGAAACCGGCGGAGAAGCCCAATTCCAAGCAAAGAGATAAATAACATGTTTAATCTCTGCCTCTCCAACCTTTTCCCAACCAGGTTATTCACCGGCTGCAAATGCCCTACGTTGACGATGAGCTCCATCAGACCAGCTGGAACGCCTGCAGCAGCTGCTTTGGAGACACCACCAAGAAACGCAACCGGCTGGTCCTTCCCTGCCTCAGCACTTCACGGATTTATGTGGTGGACACCGGGACTGACCCCCAGGCCCCCTCCCTGTTCAAAGTAGGCCACCACAAATGATTGTGTGACCTTGTCTTTGTAAGCGATTTAAACCAAAATCCGTTCGTCAACCGATTTCTTATC